GAATCAAAGTCTGTAAGTTCAATGGCGTCGGTTTGTGTGTGTGCGTGTGTGTGTGTGTGTGTGTGTGTGTGTGTGTGTGTGTATGTGTGTGTATGTGTGTGTGTGTGTGTGTGCGTGTGTGTGTGTGTCTGTCCGTCTCTGTGTGTGTGTTTGTGTGTCTGTCCGTCCTTGTGTGTGTCAATCCGTCTGTTGTCTGTCTGTCTGTCCGTCTGTCTGTTTGTCGGCCTGTGTGTCTGTCTGGTTGTCTGTCTGTCTCTTTCTTTCTTTCTCTTTCTTTCTCCTTCGTTCGTTCGTTATTTCTTTGTCTAACATCTTTCTTTCTTTTTTTCTTTTTTTCTTTTTTTCTTTCCTTTTTTCTTTTTTTCTTTTTTTCTTTTTTTCTTTCTTTCTCTTTCTTTCTCTTTCTTTCTCTTTCTTTCTTTCTCTTTCTTTCTCGTTCTTTCTTTCTTACCGTAACGACGTACGTACCTCGCCCCCCATTTTCTTCTGCCCTTTGCTAGTCATACCTTTTGCCATTTACATATTTCTCTCCTACGTATGTACTCGTCTGGTTCGAACAAGGGTTGTTGTGGGCGACGAGTATTATACACACAGACACACTAACACATACACACATTCTGACATGCACCGTTCAAGTTGGCTAATGCGTGCCATATATAGACCACACAGGTCCGTTGTGACTTCAAATGGCACGCAGTAGCCAACCTTAAGTCGGACACGCTAACACATGCACAAACAAACACGCATAACAAATACACACACACACACAAACATATACAGAAAGACACACACACACGCACACACACGCACACACGCACACACACACACACACACACACACACACACACACACACACATTCTGGCATACACCCTTAAAGTTGGTTACTGCATGCCAAAAACTTACGAATGATTACCGTTGCGACTTCGAATGACACGCAGTAGCTAACTTGGGAACAAACACGCAAACACACGCACAGACCATTCATACACACACATCCATAGACATATACACAAAGACACACAGACATCCACATAGGTTCATACATAGACGACACACACACATACACACACACACATACACACACACACATGTCGATGCGGCATTGTGCGTTTCCGCTGGCAGAGAGAAGAGGACGAAAGACAAATTGTACGCATCATGTTGATGTCAGTAGCACAGGTGGAGGCTGCTCTTGCAGACGTAATGAAGTATGCAAAGGAGGGCGTCCACTACTACGGTAACAACGAGTTGTCTTTGCTTCAGGACAGGGTGCCGAGGTACTTCATAGTCGCTGTGGATATAAGATCCACAATCATGGCAAACGGCAAGGGCTGTGTCAAAGCATGAACACTCTTGCAACGTTTCAGAGAGACACCACATGTACGTGTGGACAGGGATGTGGAAGACAGTGTATACAATTTAAAAGGAGTGGTCCAGTCGATGTGCAGTGAAGGGATATGCGAAGAAGGAGATGTGGACATGACAACGCAGCAGACAGGGGGGACATATACACCTGCGAACTTGGGCTAGTTGTTGGGCACTGTGACACGGAATGAGGGAATGCTGGTTGGTGGGTCGAAGGACGAGCTGACAAGTGGTGCTGCAGAAATCTTGGTGTTGTCCAGAATGAAGGACATTACACAAACACCGCCAGAAGACTTTCAAGATGTTCATGTCATTGTTGCAGATGGTGTGGAATATATTCTGCTGGATCAACTTCTGGACTGCATGAAAAAGAGTGCCGACGACAGGAACGTCATCCATGAGGCATTGCACGAAGTCACAGAGTTTGCACTATAGGGTCAAGATCTGATAGAATTTGTGCCAGCAAGAACAAAAGACAACATCATATCTGGCAGACCGTTGTGGGGGGGGTGTTATCACCTGCTTTGGAGCGGTTCGGTCTTGCAAGTTGCGATGTTGAGAGACAAAGAGAAAGAAAAGAAGGGTGGAAGGTGATGGCCACGGAAACAAATTTAGCAATCATTCCAGACAACGGACAGACATCAGCAGCACAAGAATCAATAACCAGTATGGCAGTCGATATGCCTCCCATGCAGACAGCAACGAGAGAGGAGCTAGTGTGTTCCGATATCTTCAATGCTTTCACAATGAAGAAAGAACAGTGTGATCGTAGATTTGAAGAGGCCGAATTGCCAAGTTGTTGTGCAGAGTACACAGACAGTGCAGAAGAAGAAGATGAAGAAGAGGATGAGGGGGCATCATCTTCTGACGTGGAAGTGAGCGGCAACGATGTCAGCAGCGACGAGGAAGACGAGGAATATGATGTATGCTGTGATTTGAAGGCGGCGGGTGGACAAGTGACGAAAGAGTGGGCGCATGCAATTCTGAGGTTGGCACGTGCTTTTCTCGATCCGCACAAAGTGTTGCGTGTTGTGATGAAGGGGGCAACACCAGACGGTGCACTACAGTATGCCGCAGTGACCAACATAATGAAATCATGCAACAAGGGAAAAAAGCGGTTACGTGTTGGCAAGGGATGGTTTGTTCTAGTCAATAGAGAGGCTGTGCTAACAACGTCACTGACATGGGGAGTCAACCTGAGTTGCCTCAGACACGGCGCAACGGCGACAGCTTGGGGAGAGACATTGCACCCCGGCTCTTCTACAAGAGACGCAATAGTCAGTGCTCGGCCACTGCAGCGACCGGAGACACACCCACACACCACGACAGACCATGTTAGACATTAGGGATGGTGACAGACATGCATAGCATAGAGCAATAGATTGGTACTACAAACAACCAGTGCACATACGTTTTGATACGCATGGGAAGCTCAACCTGTACATCCCTCAACCTGTACATCTCTCTATATCTGCCTCAATTTCAACGACGGTCGGGTTCACTACTGTGTGCCATATCAGTGTCCACCGGTGCTGTTTGTTGTCGTTTTGACCCGCACTAGTGCACCTCTCTCTCTCTCTCTCTCTCTCTCTCTCTCTCTCTCTCTCTCTCTCTCTCTC